TGTAATGGTGTAAATCTATAATATCCCCCCCCCCTCATTTCGACACGATTAAAAATCGACAATACTTTACAGGTAAGAACATCTTAGCTGAAGAATAACGGTAGCTGGCCCCGCCGCGGTGTAAACACGGTCTCAGGTAGCACCGCGATCAAAACCCGCGACGGTGTAACGCGAAAAGGATTAATACACCGCGGAGGGGACGCGGTCTAATACGGGATCCGCGTTGCCTGTACTGTACCATGTTCAAGATACTGATATTTACCTGTACTTCACATTTCCCATCACAATGCAACAGGGGAGGACAAGGTTATTATAATTTTGAGAATTGCTGGCTTTCAAGAGCATATCGTTTATACATTAATAAATTTATTACCTTGTGTTCACATATCTTTTCATTCTTTACTGGTATTCTATATTTTCTCTATTACTAATGGATAGTTGGTTCATAAATTGAGAAGTATTAAAAAAGGGTCTTTGGTATAGATAAGTACATAAAAGGATCGGTTCGGGGGTGAGTGGTGTGTTAGGACACACACTGCTATAAATTGTTAAACGTAGCTCAGTACCTTAAGCTAAGAGGTGACAGTATTGTTTCCTTTTCCAATTTTGGGATGCCATTTGGGTTTGTTTCAGTACAAAACCTTGTAAGACAACTATGAGGAACACTTGCAAAGATATTTTTTCTAAGTAATATTACTTTACCACGCAAGGAAACTAGGTAAGAGGTGCTTTAATGATTTAAAAGCCATAAAAAGAGTGACAGACTTTTAGATAATTTATGCAAGTAACCAATGGAAAAATACTGAGCCCGTAAGTTTCAACAATTTTAGAGTAAATAGAAGTTGTTTTATACGTACAAGTCATTGACTCCGTCTGTAAAACTTGTGTAATCACTTATTCTGTAAATTTGTATTGGTGAATAAGCAGGCCCTGGTCTACGGTGACCATTTGCGTTGAGGTACTGCCGCCGTCACCATGGATCTTGGCACCCCATTGGTGGCGGTTGCAGTTCCATTATTTCTCGTAGTAGACAAAAGTAGTCATGGCCCTTGCAAGTGGCGTATTCCGTCGCACCTCAGCGCAATTGGATGAGTGCAACACATATTCTTACGCTCATTCCATTGTTCATTGACTTGATTGATATTTGAATTGATTGATTGACTGATTGATTATAATTGATTGATTGAATTTGATTTATTATTGTTTGGTGACGTTCATGCACTTGTGACTTACCCAGTGCATGATCGGCCCGTCACATTTGTTGTATTGATTGTTGATTGTGGGGCAATCCTGTGGTAGCCCCAGCAAATTGATCACCGCGGCCAGAAGCGCCATATTAAACAAGCAAAATAACATCCACATTGTTTGTTTGATTTATAGGGAATCTGAAATATATAATTAAATGACCCCCTATTTTAACCAGAAACCCTGATCCTGAGGCTATGAATTACAATTTTGAAAGAGGCATTCTTACTTTACCATGACTACTATAATAGTATGTACTTTGTTTAAATAATAACCCAGAAGCAGAGATGATGATTCTCAAAGATTTAATGCATTTTCACTATATAATCAACAGAGCATCGCCCTAACACCTGAACCCCCGATCCTGAGGCCATAAAATACACAATTTTTGAACGAGGCATTCGTGCCAATTATAACTAGGTAATTAGTTAGCTTCTTGCTAGTCATAATTATGTACTTTGTTAGGCTAAATAATGCCTGGGAATAGAGAAAAATTTCAAATAATTAAATTATTTTCACTCAATCAAATCAATAAAGCTCAGTCCTCAAATACCAAAACCCCTGATGTAACCCTGAGGCCATGAAATTAACCATTTTTGAGGCAGCCTCATTCTACGTAACGAGGGCTGTTCAATAAATTATGTCCTAAACTATATGACATACAATACAGGTATAATATGACATTAAGCTTTAATTTTTTTCTTCAATTTTGAATCTTTAATGAATTTATAACGATTTATGTGACTACATTTCATCACATAGTTTCATTGTGACAAGCTGGAACAAGAGGCCCAGGGGCCACAGCGCTCACCTGAGCACATCATGCTTGAATTTACTCCACCCCCCCCCCTCCAGGCGTTCATCATTTGAACAAACTTGAATCACACTACTTAAGGATGATTCCATATAAATATCACTAATCGTAGCTTTGAAGTACTTGAAAAGAAGATTTTAAAAGGTTTCCCTATATATCCCTATGTAAAACTTGGATCGGCCATTTTGGCCCCACCCTAGCCCCGGGGGTCATGATTTGAACAAATTTGAATCTACACTACCTGAGGATGATTCCACATGAGTTTCATCTTTCCTGGCCCAGTGGTTCTCGAGAAGAAGATTTTTAAAGATTTTTCCTATATATTGCTATGTAAAACTTGGGTCGGCCATTTTGGTCCCATCTCTGCCCTGGGGGTCATGATTTGAACAAACTTGAATCTACACTACATGAGAATGATTCCACATGAGTTTCATCTTTCTTTGGCCAGTGGTTCTGGAGAAGATGAATTTTAAAGATTTTCCCTATATATTCCTATGTAAAACTTGGGTCGGCCATTTTGGTCCCACCCTTGCCCCGGGGGTCATGATTTGAACAAACTTGAATCTACACTACCTGAGGATGATTCCACATGAGTTTCATCTTTCCTGGCCCAGCGGTTCTGGAGAAGAAGATTTTTTTAGAAATGCCATTAATTTTTAACAAATTCATGATTATCTCTCCTTGGAAAAGGGCGTGACCCTTCATTTGAACAAACTTGAATTCCCTTCACCTAAGGATACTTTGTGCCAAGTTTGGTTGAAATTGGCCAAGTGGTTCTTGAGAAGAAGATGAAAATGTGAAAAGTTTACAACGACGACAACAACAACGACAACGACAGACGACGGACAAATTTTGATCAGAAAAGCTCACTTGAGCCTTTGGCTCAGGTAAGCTAAAAAGACTATTCGAGACACTGCAATGAATGGTAAAAAATCAGTAAACTAGAGTGAAAATAAACTCATTAAGAATCCCAAAGTTATATTCGCTGAAATATGAAAAATTACGGCAACCAATGTCTGTTGTATAGACAAATGAGCAGGTAGATTTCAATGACAGAAAATTATATAATGGGCATAAAAAATTGGTACTCTCCTTCCAAACAAAAATTATAACAACTAATGTACTGTTTGCCAAATTTCAACAAGTAATCACTGATGATGTATGATTGAATTTAAGACACATAGTAAATTTGATGGACATTATTTCGGGGGTAGCACTGTTTTAAAGAACCGTTTGACCTTAAAAAATCTTGGTACTCAAAGGTCACCCTGTTTTAAAAATAAGTGAAAACGACAGCGTGTAAGAATATCTAACAATGACTTTAAAATATCAATAATTGTAGTTATCCACGTTTGTTTGAAATTTAAACAGATAATGAAATTTGAATCTATTGCTCAAAACCATCGACACAAAATTTACAATAAGATTTACTTGACAAATATAGAAAAGGTCTGAAAAGAGCAAAGAATTGCACCAGCACAAAGACACATTTATATGCAATTTTCTTAAATATTTGTGGTCTTGTTCAAATTCGTATTCGGGGAGACAGTTTAATTTCTGGAAGAGTCTAAAAAGCAGTTTTTTCGCAAAAAAAAAAAAAAAAAAAAAAAAAAAAAAAAAACCAACGAAAGATTAAAAAGGGAAAGGAACCAGAATCCGGAATCCACTACATTAAATTTCTTCATGAAAGCGTCCAAACCCACACGCCCTAAAGAGTAAAGGAGTTTTGGGATAAACCGAAAGTACTTTTTTTTTTCATGTTAACAATAATCATTCGCCTTTTGACTAGTTTCATTTTCCAAACTTGAAAAAAAAACCTTTCAGAAGGAAGAAACGAGTCGAGGAAATCATCAGATCTGCCATTTTCCAGTATACCAAGGGTCATACACAAAAATGAGTTCTAAAAACAATTTGAAATTGGATAAAAAATTTCACGGACATGTGGTTTAATAAAAAGAGAAATCATTGAAAAGCATCTTTTGCTTCTTTCCGAGTACCGAGGACATTATTTATTGTACAGCCCTAGTACTTTACTTACTTAGTTTGTTCAATACCCAGAAGCAGAAAAGAAGATTTTCAAAGAATGAATGCACCTAGCAGAAAAGAAGATTTTCAAAGAATGAATGCACCTGCACTATTATAATCAGTAGTTCCCCGCCCTAACACCAGAACCCTTTACCCGGAGACCATGAAATTCAAAATTTTAAAACAGACTGATTTCTAGAGCCCAAATCTAGCACCAGGACCTCTGAACATGGAGCCATAAATTTTAGCCCCACTCCTCATGCCACATGGGCGCAGATACCATGAAATTTAACAATTTTTATTCCTGTCCACCCAGCCCCGTGGGAATCCGGGTTAGAATAGGTCCTCAGTACCCCCTTACTTGCCGTAAAAGGCGACTAAATGGGGCGGTCCTTCGGATGAGACCGTATAAACCGAGGCCCCGTGTCACAGCAGGTGTGACACGATAAAGATCCCTCCCTGCTCAAAGGCCGTAAGTGCCGAGCATAGGCCAAAATTTGCAGCCCTTCTCCGGCAATGGTGACGTCTCCATATCAGTGAAATATTCTGGAGAGGGACGTTAAACAGTACTGTAGATTCCTTACTTTTCGCGAGTACTTTTTATCGCGAACTGGGTCTTCAACGTCAAATCGCGAGAATAATAATTCGCGAATGGACGTTCGATCAGCAGAATTTATATAGATTTTAGCACCATATAAATAAACGCGAGCAATATTTTTTCGCGAGTGACGCTTCTCGCGAAATTACAATCAATCCTGTCCACCCATAGATGCGTTATGCCAAAATTGATTGAAATTGGTAAAGCGGTTTCAGAGAAGCTGAAAATGTTCAAATGTTAGCACACGATGCACGACATCGGACGTAAACGGATAGTAAAAGTTCACCTGAGTGACTCAGGTGGCCTAAAAACATCTTTTCATGCAATTGAAAATAATCTTACTAAGTCTGGATCAGTAACAGTGATTTTCAGTAGGTTAGATCCATCGTTATCCCTTGGTATGGTTCCTACTGGTGAATTTTCGTTAATGTATCCTTGGAAAGGTACACTAAGCACGGGGTTATTGTTGTTGGCCGCAGCAACTGATAATTTTATTGTAGCTCTGTTGGAGTACCTGTTTGCTACATTTTCTTGAGCCTGTGGATAAAACTCTATGATTGAAATTTTTGTAAGGATATTAGCATGAACGCCATGTATGAATCAAAAGACCACAAAATAAAATGTAAAAATAAACCTCAATGAAAAGTTCCAGCTCAGAAACTTGGGATCTATCAATTGATGCAGTTTGGCTTACAAGAGCTCGATATTGACTTGCTGAGCCAGAAACTTGTTGTGTGGTCACTTTGAATCTGTTCTCATATCCAGCTGGCAAAGCTGGTAATACAGAAACAATTGTAGTTTACGGAGAGCAGCAATTGAGGCAAAACATATTAAATATCAATAGTGTCGATAAATCATTAATTAAGCTTTAGTTAGTGAATTTAGCCAATGTCAAAAAAAAAAAGACCTCACTGATTATAAGTCTTGCATTTGTTCTTTAAAAGAATAAGAATTCAAAAACTTCATTTAAAAATTATTTAACTAAATATGTTCAAGAAATTAAAAATCCTTCTGATGTTTTTAATAATTTAAGAATCATTCTTAACTGTTCTGATGGCTAATCAAAAATGGAAAAAGCAGTTTAATCGAGTATGGCAGCTTGTATATGAGATGTGTTGTTTATGTCTACAATGCTGCTGAAGTAGGTTTTTGTTATGCATAATTTATAATTTCAAATATAACATGTACCCATCTGATAAAAGTCAAATGTTTTGTACTCACTTTGTCGTATTGTAAAGGTGATTGGAGCATTAAGAGTGTCCCTGTCCTCTGCAATGATGTCAACCGCTGCACTGGGATTCCCAGGAACCACAGGTACTGGGTTAAATACAAGTGTGCCAGCCTACAAATAAACAATGTTTATATGTGAAGCTCTACGTAAAAGAATTTATGAGTAAGTGCCTATAACAGCTAAAATCACTTTGTTCTATTCTGAATTCATTATCTTATTGTATTAGGTTAAAGATAAATGTTTACTGTAATTATTTTGCAACATCCGCACTTGCTATACTCTGTTTTACCCCATGACACCTAAAGCTAAATGCTAAATCCCGTATAAAGTCATAAAACTCACCGTTGATCCAGATGTGACACTTGTTGTGTAAGTTGGGTTAAAACAAACATTGTTGACATTAAAACAGGAGGAATACACAAATTTGGGTCCTAAATCATCTACATCATTTATAGTTATTGTGATGGTGGTGGTAGTCTGTTTCCTTTCTGCAACATTGCTGGCTTTGTCCTACATAGAGGGATAAAACACAACAAATTAAAATCTACAACAGAAGGTATATTTAAGGAATCACTGCCGTCTAACACAAAGAGAGATGCACAGATTGACATATGCATATTAGGCCTCCTTAGCTCCTGACCTATCGATTTGCCTAATTTACTTTCCGGTAGAATTATCAACAAATCAACTCCACGAACTTTCAAAGAGTTATCACAGAGAAAAAAATTTAAAAATGATACATTTGGAATATGGTATGGTAAGGTACATTTTGTGACTGAAATAAATAAGTCGCTCATGTAAATTACTATTGAATCATTTTATTTTGCGCAGGTCAATGTTCGTCGGCAAGCAAAACTTACATGTTCGTGGAGACGTAATTGTGAGTTACTCATTCATTCATGTACGGAAGAATGTTTACAAAATAAACGTTCGTGGGGGTGTTAATTCATGGGCAAGTGTGACCTACTCAATCTACGAACATAGGTACCCCATGAACAGTAATGATTCCACAATACCTGGGAATGGTTTTAAGCATACAGAAAATTCAAGAAAATTGTAAACACCATACATTTTCAAGTTACTGCTTTTTATGTTGCTCTGAAACATGATAAACTCACTGTTGCAGAAATGGTCAGGGTGTATGACCAAACAGATTCAAAGTCTAAAGGATTGCTGACAACTATTTCTCCTCTTGAAGTGATAGGAAGTGCAAATCTGGTTGCGCCATCATTCTAAAGAGATATTTAATTTAATATAATGCCTGTATTTATAATACACTAAAAATACAATTCCGTTACATGTTCTTTTACATGTTTTTCTCTCATTTCTAAGTCCCTTCCCCATTTCTACAGTATTACTGAAATTCATATACTTATAATTTATAAAACATTACCTCGTAATTTTGAATAAAAACATCTTTAAAGGTAGGAAAGAACTTCATGAAATATGAATGAAGAAATTTAAATCAAATATAAACACTCACAATACTTCCATCTCCGGGAACTATGGCATACTCAATTTCTTTG